GCTGAAAAGCAGGATTCGTCCTTAATTTATTGTGAGACTTTCGTGTACAGAATAAGGAAATAAGGAAGCATCCTGAGAAATGGAATTGTGGGTTTTTTCCGTCTGCACATTATGTTACATTAACCAGTGGCAGTTTTTGGTTATAGCAGCATACCAGACATGATACAAGAAAGAAGATGTCCGTGAAATTGGTAAAAGTGAGAACAAATGCGAACCGAGTGGATTATAAGAATTTACACCGCGTCTGTTTATACTCCTTGCAATGCGTACAAGCTTGTAATTTTGAAATACACTAGACATTTCTTAAAGTCAAGATCTTAATGAAATATGCGGGAACAAACAACGTGGATAAAAAAAAAAATTCATAAAAATCTGAAAAAGACAATTATTTTAGACTTTATGGATAAGTCAATAAATACCGAACAATGATCCGGATACTGAAAAACTACTCTATCTGGAGTAGTTTCCAATAAACTGACAACTATATTTTGAGAGTGTGAAATTATTTTTTGAATCGAGCTCAATTTTTCTGTGTCACTGTGTCGAGACGATGAAAGAAACCACTTGTGCAAGGGAATTGGAGTATAAAAAGTCATGAATTGAAACTGAAAAATTGTTAGAGTTGTTGGAGGCGGGGGGACAATTTTGCACTGGCAAAATAGGGGAAACAATTTTACCAAGTTCGGTGTTCAAGACTTTTTGAAAAGAAAGGGAACGAGGTGAGGAAAGGACATCCGCATCATCCGGAAACAGCGGGTCAAACGGAAGGTACTCTGTTGCTGAGGCAACGGGACCAAAAGAACACCATACCACGAGTAAAGACTTCCCTTTCCCAAACCAAACCCTCACCCCCCCTCCTTCCCATCGTCGCTTTTCCTCTTCCACTTTCATTCCTGTCTTCCAAGCCTCTAACGACCCTAGGATTCCGCTTGGTCGAAAGCTCACGATCTTCTTCCTCTTTCTCACTAAGGTGACGTTTGTGCCCGAGTTCTCTACACTCTTTCTCTCCAAACTCCCTCACGCTACTATTACTCGATTTTTCCTCTCCCTGATACACTTGAAACTTTTCTGTTACACTTTACTGTTAGAATTCTCCTACGATTGTAAAGCGTATTCACCTCAAAATGTTACTGCCAACAGAAATATTTACCCAATGGGGAGAAAAGAAAAAACATATCCAAAAAGTTTCTTTACATGTCCCATGATTGTAAATGTCTTTTTCATTTCAGAATTTTAGTGATTTATGGTATTGTCATATTATCGCGAAGTATTTATATGTTACATTTATAAACTATTTTGTAAAGTTTTAAAATCCGAATCCTCTTTTTCTTGTAACCGAAGCAACATTGATCCAATGGTTTTACACTTGGGAACAGATACTAAACAGCGTCATCAACGTTTTGTCACCCTCCTATATAGGGTCATTAACTTATCTAATACAGGAACTAATACGCGACCAAATTAAATCAGTAGAAAAAACTGACCCAGAAAGCAATAAAAGTGGGTGGTATGACGTATTATCCCTCTGTAAACGGAACATTTAAAAGGTGCCACCCTTGCCGAATTCGTCAGTCCAGGAAACGTCTTCAAGTTAATTAGTTCAGAAGTTACCACTAAATCAACTACCTATGTTCTTCATGTCAGTCCAGCAACTGCCACCAAGTTAACTAGTTGTGTACTGTCATCAAATGTTTTCTTCGACTCCAATCTAGAAAAACTCTTCAAGTACCAAGTGCATTCTTCAAGTCTCGTCTTAGTCAAGTTCATTCAAGGAGATAATTTCTACTACGAGGCACATTACCATTTTTCTAAGAACTGAATTACCACAACATCAAATAAATAATTCGGTTACTCCAAAGCTGAGGGGTGTTCAATCTAATTTACATCAACACTTACACTCCGGATCTTTCACTTTCGCTGGCCCGAAAACAATTTGAAGGCAATCTACTGCATTCACTGTTTCTGCTATAGTCAAGATGTTTTCCTCAACTTCACACTGAAGAATGTATCGCTTGCTGAATCTACGACTCTAACAATAACTTTAAAAGGTAAATCACTAATACTTTAAATTTGTCCCCAATTAAATTCTCTTTGATTCCAAAAAGTTGTAATTTTGTTTCAGTGTGCCTGAAGACATCTGGATCTACTCTTTCTCTCTGATTCTAATTGTAAAGGATTCAAATAAAAACTTAAATACTTTAATTTCAATTTTAACAGTTCATCTTTCTTAAAACCTGTCCCTTGAGATCAGAGCCTTCCTCTCTGCATATAAATCAGGTTTACATCACATATGCCGGATAAATTAAATATATATATATAATCCCATCAAAAACATCATCGATGTAAAAAGTTTCGCCAAATAAAAATTGTTGAAATTGTCAAAGAAATTATTCAAATAAAAGTTTACCAAGTAAAATTTATAAGTAAAGTTTTAATATTGATTGATTTTATTAATATTACTAATTACAACTTTTTACATCAATGATGTTTTTGATGGGATTTTAAAACTTGTTGCATGATCTCAACTTTTTAATAAACCCGCGTAAAAAAAAGGTTGGCTCGCTCAAAGCTCGCTCAAGGTTCGAGACTTGGTTGAAGCTAAAAATTCCCCTAAAACTCAAGGCTCAAGACTTAATTGAAGCTAAAAATTCACCTAAAACTTAAGACTCGCTGAAGGCTTTCTTAAAGCTCGAGACTTGGTTAAGGCTAAAAAATCTCCTAAAGCTCAAGGCGCGAGACTTGACTTAAAGCTAAAAATTCCCCTAAAGCTTAAGGCTTAATCAAGGCTCGAAACTTGGTTGAAGCTAAAAATTCACCAAAAACTTAAGACTCGCTGAAGGCTTTCTTAAAGATCGAGACTTGGTTAAATTAAAAAATAATCATTGAATGTAAAATTTGTATCTTTATTAGAAGAAAAGTTTTAATTTTTAAATCAAAAATAATTTCTGCCTTAAACAGTGAAGAAATTTTTAGCTTAAAAAACAACTACATATTTTAGATAATAAAATTAGACATAAAAATTCAAATAAAGACATAAAAGATTACATTATTCTAAATTTTTATTTAGTTAAAAGTAATTTAATTTTTAATTTTAATTTTAGTCTCGAGCCTTGATCGAGCCTTAAGCTTTATGGGAATTTTTAGCTTCAACCAAGTCTCGAGCCTTGAGCGAGCCAACATTTTTTTACGCGGGAATAGATGAAGTAATTAAAAGGGGAATTGTTTAGAAAATTCCTTTCTTTTTTAATTTTTTTGAAGAAAAATCCAAATATTTCAAAAAATACGAAATTATCAGTTTTCTTTGCTTAAATTATCATTCTTTGTCCAACAAAAAAAATTGAGCAAAATTGGTTAAGGGGAGACCCCACCTTTATTTTGACCCCTTCAAAATAAAATTATTAAACGAGGTAATATTTTTTTTCTTGCATCATTTTTAACCTGAAAACATATAAGATGGTCAAAAATATTTAATTTTAATTTTTGTAGAGGTTAGATTTTTTTCTTTTTTCCATTGCATATTATTGCAAATCCATGCGAGAAGTTGTTTAGAATGGTAAAATATGTATGGAAAAGAAAGTTCGTTGAAAAATATTAAAAACTGTAAGAGAAGATCGATTTTTAATATTCAAATCTTTAAATTTTGCCGAAATTTCGAAAGCCTTGAATTTTTAATTTTTTTCCAAATTGTGTATACTTACGTAATTTGATGTTATTATTCAAAAAACATTGTTAAAATTGACATTTAGCTCATTTTCGTGGTAAAAATCATAAAAATCATAGTCCGAAGCTTTTATGGTATACTATATTTATATATACCGAAATAAATGCAAAAAGCCATGATTTTTATAGTTTTTACCATGAAAATGAGCTAATCGTCAATTTTAACTATGTTTTTTCGACTCAGAGCATCAAATTGGAAATAAATAAAGGTTCAGGACTTTCGAAATTTCGGCAAAATTTAAATATTTGAATATTAAAAATCGATCTTCTCTTACAGTTTTTAATATTTTTCAACGAAATTTTTTTTCCATACATATTTTACCATTCTAAACAATTTCTCGCATGGATTTGCAATAATATGCAATAGGTCAAAAGAAAAAAATTCTAACCTCTTCAAAAATTAAAATTAAATATTTTTGACAATCTTATATGTTTTCAGGTTAAAAATGATGCAAGAAAAAAAACATTACCTCGTTTAATAATTTTATTTTGAAGGGGTCAAAATAAAGGTGGGGTCTCCCCTTTAAGATTTACTCGAGTTTTTCGATTTTTCCTATAGTCGATTCTATGCAGTCGATATTTTGAGAATACACCGAAAAATATAAAATTTCAAAGTGAGAAGATAATTCCGCTTAACAATTATTTTTACATTCTATTTTCAATATACGAATAATCATCTACAAAAAAGAGGAATTTTTGTTAATATTTGAAAGTGTTTTAACTAAAAGATGAATTTTAACCTTTCTTCTTTGGTTGAAACTATTCTTCTGAAATTGAAACAAATTTGTACTAGAAAGAAGATTTTTAAGTTGATTTTTGTTTCTTTGAACGCAGGTTCAAACTGTTTAAAAAGTGACATTTAATGGAAAATATAAAAGTGGAAAATCCTCACAATTACAAAGAAAAACTTTAGATGCCTATATGTAAGAGAAAAAAAATGCTGCAAAAGAAGTGGAATAGTCTAAAACTGAAAACATTTTTTTTTCGGTGTATATTTTCGCGGTTTTTACTTGGCGACGATTCTCTACCGCGAATCTTGATTTGGAGTATGTTTAGTTTCCTTCTGAGATTATAACACATAACAGAAAGTTATGTTTTGTTTAGTCCATTAAATAATGTACCAAAAACATTCCAACAACATGGATGTTTAAATAATTTTCAAGAACATTTTTAAGCTAGCAATTTACCTGAAAGAAGCTCTGATAAGTAATTTCCATCTGCCTAATCGATAAAATTTTTAGCTGAAAGTGAAAGAAGTAGGAAACGTATATGCGACTCACCTGGTGACTGTAGGCGTTGATGCAACCCCCGGAGACCGTGCCGGATAACTTCGAGGACTTCCTGACATCAGGTACTCTACAACAGAGAGGCAAACGATTTTTCCTTAATGGAGTAGCCACATAATATCTACTTACATGCTCTCAAGCACACCTTCACATAAAAGCATGTGAAGCACATTTTCATTCTCTACTTCATCTTTTCAAGTTGCAAAAAAAGAAGAATGGTTTTGTTCTTATATTCCATCTTGAAAAAGAGAGATCTCTTCATTCTTTTTATCCCTACCATAGTAACAATAAAGACTCATTTGTCTAAAACAAACTTAATAGAAACTTTGGTGATAAAAATAGAATTCATATTCCACTAGTAGGATTAATTTTTGGAAATATTTACTATATTAGTGTAAACATGTATGTACATGTTTTATTACATGTTTTACAAAAATGTTTTACAAACATGTTTTACATACATGTTTTACATAATGTAAATACATAAAAGGAAACTAAATAAATTACAATACTAATTAACGTTCGTTAATTTTTTCCAAATGTCATTTCATTTATAATCTGGCAATCCACAAAATGGTATTAAATGTTTCATATTAAGGGAATTATTATAATGTACGTGTTTTGTCAAATATCCCAGCTTTGAAAATGTATAAATTTACATAATGCAAATGGTATAATGTGCTTTCTCACCGAGATTAATTTCACATTGGACTTATTTAGAAATTCAGTAGAATTGATTTTAATAATTGAGTTTTGCAATAATTCTGTTCAATCTCCGAGTATAATGTGTTTTACCCTAATGAAAATTGCAGTATTTGGATTATTATTGAATTGCAAATTATATTCGTAATTAATGATTTTTTCAAAATCATCTACTGTCTGCATTTTTATTTTTAAAACCAATCACATTCATTATTAACCACTTAATTTTACATAATTAAAAGTTCACTTATTCCTTAAACAATGAAATTTTTATTTATTTTATTTTCCTCCTTTTTTCGAAGAATGAATCAGAGTCGAATAAAACGTTTTTGAATTCTTTATTTAGTTTTGCCATTGCGGGGGTTGTTCTAATATTAAACTTGTTTTAATGCGATCACGTTATATAAGGCGGGGAAATTTTCCCATTTATTATACCGCGGGTGTCCTCGAGTTTCTTCTCTCTGGGTTGACTTATGGCCGTTGCAACTAGCACCTAATTACCCTTGGACAAGTAACTGGATCCGAGAGGTGTAGACAGGTGCTTCTCCGCTCCGCGGAACCCGACCTATGTCAGGCGATAAGGTAATTGAGTTTATTAAACGTGCTCACCAGCCCAGCCATTCTTTCTTCTCGACATTTGATGCTTTGTAAAAGGAGAAGTGAAAAAAAAATTTGTTTAATATATTTGAGGACAGATAATTTCTCTGACTCGTCGTTAGGAAAAAGGAAATGTTATAATAAGTTGAAATTATAACGGAGAATATTAGAAGATTTTGTTTTGAGAGGAGAGAAAATTATCTTGAGAACTGAAAAAGACATTTTTTTTGTCTTCATTGTTTTAGGAAGATAATATATATCCGTAGTATGACAACAGGGGGTTGATTATGTAATTTCATTGAACTTTCATTAAACTTTCACTCGAATTTCATTTTTACAAATTTTATTTTCACTCCACTTTCACTTCACATTTACTCAAGTATCATTTCCACTCCACTCTCACTCCAATTTCACTCCACATTCACTTTACTTTCACTCCAATTTTACTTACACTACACTTTCACTTCACTTTTTCTCGAATTTCACTTTTACCCAAATTTCATTTTCATACTAATTTCACTATTACCCAATTTTTATTTTCACTCCACTGTCACTTCACTTTCACTCCACTTTCACTTCACTATCACTCCAATTTTATTTCCACTCCACTTTCACTCGAATTTCACTTTTACTCAATTTTTATTTTCACTCTACTTTCACTTGAATTTCACTTTGACTCAAATTTTATTTTCACTCCACTTTCACTTTTACTCAAATTTCATTTACACTTCACCTTCACTTCACTTTCACTCCTCACTTTCAGTTTTACCCAAATTTAATTTTCATTGCACTTCACATACTTAAATTTTATTCCCACTCCACTTTCACTCAACATTTATTTTTACTCTACAAATAAAATTCGAGTAAAAGAAAAAGTAGAGTGAAATTGTAGTGAAAGTGAACTGACAGTGGAGTGAAAATAAAAATTGGGTAAAAGTGAAATTGGAGTGAAAGTGAAGTGAATTATAGAGTAAAAGTGTAATTCGAGTGACAGTGAAGTGAAAATAAAATTTGAGTAAAAGTGAAATTCGAGAAAAAGTGAAGTGTAAGTGAAGTGAAAGTGGTGTAAAAATAAAATTTGAGTAAAAGTGAAATAATTGTAGTGAAAGTGAAGTGAAAGTGGAGTGAAAATTTCAATTATCTTTATAAATAATAAAATTATTCACCGAAATTCAATTATTTTTAAAAAATTTTTAATAAAATTCTTGGCAAAATTTCAATTATTTTAAAAAAATTTTCTCAATTAAATGATTTTTAATATCTATTATTTTAATAAAATAATAAAAATTTCACAGAAATTTAATTATTTACAAAATTTTTATAAATTTATTCGCAATACAATTCAATTATTTTTATAAATAATAACATTTTTACAGGGATTCAATTATTATTTTTCTACATAATAAAACTCTTTTTACGAATTTAATTACTTTCATCAATCATGAAATTTTCACAGGAATTTAATTATTTTAAAAAACAATTTTCATAATATTTTTCGAACAAATTATTTAATATGATTTTTATAAAATTTTTTTAAAAAATATTAAAATTCTTCTTAGGAATTCAATTATATTCATAAATAATAAAACTCAATGCAGAATTTCAATTATTTTTAGTAAAATTTTAATCGAATTCCTCGATAAATGTAATTAGTTTTGAAAATTTTATTAAAATTCGTCGAAAAAATTCAATCATTTAAAAAATTGTTGGTAAAATTCTTTATGAGAATTCAATATTAAGAACCTTTTGAATATAAATTAAATATAAATATTAAATAATTTTTGTATTGAATTAATTAAATATTAAAAGAATTAGAGCGTAAATTTTTATAAATAATTGAATTTTAAAAAGCTTTTAAATTAAAATCTTTGAAAATATAAATTTTTCATATATATTTTTAACTAACAATTCTGTGGAATTAATTTTTTAAAAAAGTTTAATTAAAAAGTTTTCATTTTTTTTAATAATATTCTTTGCAAAAATTAAATATTGTTAAAGAATAATAAAATTCTTCTTAGGGATTTAATTATTTTCATAAAGAATGAAACTCATTGCAGAATTTAAATCATTTTAAAAAAAAATTTTTTTTTTTTTTATACAATTTTAATCGAATTTCTCGAAAAATGTAATTATTCTTGAAAATTTTTTAAAAGTTCTTCGAAAAAATTCAATCATTTAAAAATTTGTTGATAAAATTCTTTATGAGAATTCAATTTTAAGAAAAATGCAATTGTTCAATACATTATTTATTTTTATATTTTAATAATTTAATTCTAGTAGAATTTTCTGATAAAAATTGATTTAAAAATGAATTTCAATTACAATTTTAGATAATATTGAATATTAAAAGTAATATAGAGTGAATTTTTAGAAATAATTGGATTTTGAAATTAATTTCTTTTTAAAAGTGTAATTGAATTTTTTTGATATTATTTGAAGTTTTTATTTTCTAATATATGTGGACGTCCACATGAAAAAGGCCCATTTTGGCACTATTGGAGTTATCTATATGGGCGTATTCCTGGAAAAATTTTGGAGAATTTGGAGTGGACTTAGAACTTTTTTGGTTGAAAATTCGCTGAGTTACGGAATTTCAAAGTTTAGAACGCCAAAAACCTCATTTCGAGAAAAACGGAATTAAAGATTGCGATACCAACTAATTGTTGTAACTCTGGTTCTTCTTGGAAGTTATTCAGATAAGAATTGTTTCCAGTTCAGGGCACCTTGAAGATTAAAAAACCAACAGGTTTAAAATTTTTAAAAACATCCCCCCCCCTCTTAATTTTGAAAATACGAAAAACCGACAATATGGGCCCTTTTCTAAAAAGGACAGTTTTTCTATTAAAAAACCATTTTTTTACAAGATTAATGATTTGGTACAATTTCATTGTGTCATTTGAAGAAAAAGAATAGATATTAAACTTATTTAAATTTTTTTAACAGTCTCTATTACGAAAAATTTCACGAAATATCGAATTTTTCATTTCTATGACTACAAAAACAAGGACTCCAACATCAATATCTCTGGTTCTTCTGGGAAGTTATTCAGATAAGAATTGTTTACAGTCCAGGACACCTTAAAGATGAAAAATCAACAGGTTTTAAATTTTTCCACACCTCCATTTTTAAAATGCGGATTACTTTTGCAAATGACCGACAAAATGGGCCCTTTTCATTTTTCTAAAGAACCATTGAAATCAAACAGTTAAATTATCGATAAATTAATGAAAACCGCATTCGATTCGACTTGTCAATTTGCCATTTAATTATAATAAAACATGAAGAAATCGATATCTTCATGTTTTATAGTTGTGAAAAATGTTCTCTTATTTGACTCGCACTGATTATATTTTTGTCAGTAATGTGTCCGTAAATGGTCCGTAATTTTTCATTTTTGGTCCGTAAAGTCCGTATATTTTTAAATAATTTTATTGGTTTAAGACCTGTTACTAAGTTAAATGAATTATATATATGTATATATTTAAATGTTATAAAAAATTTTTGTTATAAAATTTGTCATATAAATCAAATGTAAAATTCAATTACACAATAATATAAAATTGAAAAATATTATTTCACGAATTTAAATTCTTTCTAATTCAAAATCACTAAAATTTAGTAGAATTCATGTAGAAATTCTGTAGAATCATTCTAGTGAAATTCAAGTAAAATATTTACTAGAATTCATATATAGAATGATTCTAGTGAAATTCTATAGAACTTTTTCAGCTGGGTAGTGTTACCTAGAAATAATTATTATCAAAATTACAT